GTATTAAAAAAAAACAACCAGCAAACAAGTAAAGAAAACTTTCTTTAAAAAAAGTTTGGAGGAAAAGAAGGGATGGCTAATATCAGTCCTCCCAAAACAATACAAATTAGATAGTAAGGATGGTATGTGTATCATCCCTACATTACAGTACAAGCAATAATTAACATATTGTAATATAACTATTCAATCACAATTGAGTTTAATTTATCCCATTTTTGTCTGTTAACATTCTACTACACTGTGTGCCTTCGCTATTATGTTGTAAGGATTACATTTGTGTCATCCCTACCATCTTGTTTGAATTGTTTTTGAAGGGTTGATATTAGCCATCCCCTACCATCTTGTTTAAATTGTTTCTGAAGGGTTGATATTAGCCATCCCTACCTTTACTTGTATAATTCAGAGTTATATTGTAGGACCAAAACAAAAAGTTTTAACATCTAGTAAAACATGGAAAGATGCTCAACTGTTTAATATTTTTACCAACCTTTAAGAAATCCAGTTGAACAAAACTTAAGAAACGTTTCTGAAAATTATCGTTCCCACGCCCTCTCGCATGAATTGACGGAAATTTTAAAAGAGTGAAGCCAACTGAGTAAAACATTACCAAGAAAATGCATTTAAGATGCGAAGCACTACCTGGCGGTCAAGAATCGAATAATATTTTAATGTATCGGTGTAATTAATTCCCGAGAAATTATTACCAAAATAATAAAGATCAAAGAAGCTAAAACGTTTTATTACCAAAATTAAATCTTTCGCTTCAGGTTCAGACATTACGCCGGTAGGTGGTGAAAACAAGATTTATTGTGACGTCATAAAATAATGTCAAATGTTTTACCTTACTGGTTTCCTGGTCGTTATCGTTAGCAATGTACCCGATTATTCAGCCCAACAAAAAACATATTAGTTTCTTACTCTAGCAAACACGATTGAGCAAGAATTTTCCTGGTAGAATTTATGGCTCATTCCAACCCAGCAACTAGAACTCAATTAGAACAAATGGAAAACAAAAGCAATTTATACGACTACGATACGAAATATTAATAAAATAAAATTAAAATGTGCGAAAATTTTGTGCACGCCACCTGGTGGAAACCGATTACAGTTCGAATACTGTCGTTGGAATTAAGAACATCAACGATTAACAGAAAACACGTATTTTTTTTTATTTTTTTAATACCCGCTAATCAGAAAAAAAAACAAAAAATAACGAAATTGGTGTAATAATTTAACCTTCTATTACACATCGCAACGTGCAGGTAACAAATCTGTCTGTTGCTTAGCACGTGTACAGGTGTTTTAGTTCTGTAGTTGAATGCTCTTATATACGGGTGACAGTGTAAATAAACTTCGGGATTATTTTTTGTTGGTTCCTCATTTGAATGTCACTTTAAGATGTATCCACGTATCTTACGAACAATGAAAATATCTGTGGGATAGATTTATTTCTGTAGGTTTTGTTGTATATTCAGCAAATAGTTTCAAAACTACGTCAACTTGATTCCAGACAAGTTAAGTACGCGTGAAACAAGTTACCTTATTACATTTTAATATCCAATTTAATCTTTAACAGAACTGCTATAAAGTTTGACTGAAATAAGAATATTCACCATCTAGTTAACTCAAACTGAAGAAAGCCAGACCCTTCTGAATCTGTTCTACTTTACGATATTGAAACACCAACTTTAAGCTTCTTTGAGAAGAGTAGGGACTAGGTTCTTTAAATTAAACAAGAAAATGTCTAGCAAGTTTAAATGAATTTCGATAAATACTAATGAAGTCAGTGGTCAAAGTAGTTTCTACTAGATAACAAGGTTAAACGTTGGACTCAGCTATCACATAAAGACTAGTGATGAAGTTAAACAATTTTACATTTTCCCCAAGTTAAAATATCCAATACATAAACGAACAGTACACCAAAGGTGTGGATTTATTGTTTGTGTTCTATACATTTAAATACAAACAAAAACAAAACTGTTACTCAAAAAAGAAATTTGAAGTGTATATTTCATAATTTTTTGAGAAAATAAATTAATCTGTCTCCTTTCTTTCGACTATCCAGAGATGTCTGGTCTACACAACTGCCCTCTCGTGGTTGACATTCGCTACCAAAAGCAGAATCTTCCGATTCTTTTGATGGCCACCGTCGAAACTCGCCATCTTGTGGTAAAAGAACGTGTTCCTACGTTCAAAGTAAAAGTTCTGAATTAAACAAAATTAGGAAATTTGTGTATAGTTTAGATTTTATAATACACAAAATTTATGTAACCAAAACTCAGTGAATCTTATTACTGAAGATGTTCAGACTGAAGTACCTTAAGGTATTGAGTTTATTCAATAAAGGTTGCTCCTAAACAGATTTAGTCCGATGCATGACATGTATAAAAAAAAAAAAAAAAAATTGTAGTACTTACCACATTATGTACATCATTGAATCCTTTGTTTCCGAAACACGAAGACTCTCTGTAGGCACCCTGTTTTCCCATCATGTACTCATCAGCTCCTTCACTGTCACCATCCAACACTAACCGTCCACTGTTTCTTAGGCCAAACATTGGGTTTTTAAAGCCAACAGCAACATTATGTCCAAGTACCCGAAGATTCTTACTGCAAGTACATTCAAATTTCATACAGATAAATACCTTAATGTTAGTTAGTTGAACTATTAACAAACCTCAAGTTCAAATGCAGACTTTTTTTTAGGACAGCCACTTTCAGTTTAAACAATTTATGAAAATTTGCAAACTGGACAAGACTGAAGTTCCAATGATATTTAGATAGTCCTTTTGCCTTTTCAAATCATGGCCAGAAGAAGAAATCAATTCTTGTTCTACTTAGTTAAAAAAAACAAACTCCCCTAAAGTTTAAAAGTGGATAGCTCTTGTCATGCATCTGTTAGAGACATTGGTGGGCTCCATAGAAAGATATTCAGACCCGGAGTTGTTCAGATTAGTACTAGTTGGAAGCTCCAATTTAGTTGGTTTTTCATTAGTTGATGCAATAGCCTGTTCATCCCGTTTTTGGTAGGTTGTTCCAAGTTTTGCATCCAGCACTGAGCTCAACTGAATACTTATAATTACAAAGGTTTCTTAAACATTGACTTTCTAGTGTTAGTTATTCTCCGTTAGTACTCAACCAGAAAACTAGTTGGAGCCCCAAATATTACCAGTAATAAACAAGACAAGACAAGAGTTTTCCCACAAAAAAACTGATCCACATTTCCTAAAACTACGATCAAAGAATACTTTATAAGTAGCACTAAAAATTTAGTTATCTTGACAGATTCATTACCACATTACTACATGTAAATGGATTAGTTTTAATTGGCTTATTACATGGGATCAAATAGGGTTAAAATACTAGCTTACTTGAAGGTTGGAAAAAAGCAAAGGAAAGGAAAAAAAGTTATGATTAATGTTTAACCTAAAAAAGTTTTTGCAAGTTCTCTCAAACAACTAGTCAAATCCTAACCGACTGCATCTCAAGAGTTTGCCACACTTGTTTTGTGGATTTTACAGCTGAAAAGCCAGAGACACTGTTAATTTATTAATAATTAACGTGCGAGAGTCATCTTACTTGTGCTTTTGACGAAGTAGAACCGATAGGACAAGAACTAACACTATGAAGAAGAACCCCAGCACAACTCCAGCCACCCAGCTGTAATCTTTGTTTCCAACCTTTACAGATTGTTGCAAGTGTTCACAATGAGAACCATGAAACAAAACTGGACATCTGTATAAAAAGAGAAAGAAAAAAGGATTTAGTACGAGAACACGACTTCAAATCTTAGTGTTTTCAAAGTAATTAAAGAAAAAAAGTTAAATTTTTAATTTGTCTTAACACATTACACATCTAGTAGATCCAATACTAAAAACATTAAGTTATTAATCTCATCCCTAAAGGATTTAAGAACCAGGAAAATATTATAAAAGAATTCCAAAACATACTACATTTGGTCATATTCATCGCAGACTGCACAATGTTACACAGAAAAACTCTAAAGCATCTAAAACACTTTTCTAGCTTGTAAAAATTATACACCACTTCTGATAAATGTCTTGTGTATAGTTTATAATCATTCTTTGCCAAATTTTAAAATGGCATAAACACCACATCTTAAACTTGTTTTAGATTGGATTTTCTTGCCAATTTACTCCGAGTGGTAACTTACAAATACAAGTCAAAGATCAGAGTAGAAAGGATGGATTGCTTAAGTGCAAGCCAAGATAATAGTTATACAAGTCAAAGATCAGAGTAGAAAGGATGGACTGCTTAAGTGCAAGCCAAGATAATAGTTATACAAGTCAAAGATCAGAGTAGAAAGGATGGACTGCTTAAGTGCAAGCCAAGATAGTTATACAAGTCAAAGATCAGAGTAGAAAGGATGGATTGCTTAAGTGCAAGCCAAGATAATAGTTTAACAATTAAGAACACTTCGTACCTGCACTTTGGTTCCTTTTTGATAAGGACACATTCTCCACCATTAAGACAATATGAAGGTTTACAAGTAGTGGCACTAGGTGGCTCTGTTAACACTTCTGTAACTACATCTAAAATAAAGAGAAGGTAATCTATAGAGACCATTTGAGAATAGGATCAGATAATTTTATCAACTACAATAAGATAAAATTAGGGTTATTCTAGCAAGATTCGAGTACTATTTAGTTTTTGTCGAAAACACATTAGAAAATTAATTTTGATGATACGTGAAGCAAGAATAAATTCAAGTTTAATTTCAGGTACTGATCATCAAGATATTTAATACACCAGAATAAGAACGAAATATTTAAACCACACACATCTTGGTAGGCAAGAACTTGAATCATTTGCCAGGTAGAATCCAGACGTACAGTGGCAAGTATAAGCACCAGGAACCAGTAAACATAGTTGCTGACAAGGTGCTCCTTCACATGGATTGGGACCTGAAAGAAGATAAATAAGATAGAAACCAAACAAGAATGTCTTAAAAATAATTCAGTGCTACAATAGAATTAATGTTACAAAAAGTTAAATATTATGGAATGTTAAGTACTCAATTCAATTTTTTTTAAAAAATCGTGTGTACAGATATATTCCACAAACTAAAGACTTTAATGAAGTTAAGAATTTTAAAACTTAATTTTTGTGAGCAAGTATTAAAACTTTTTGGTATAAAAACAGATGGGACATGTTAACACTAGAAACAAACACCAAAACAGTTGTTTTTTTTAATTACAGTTTCAAGAACATTTATTAAAGACAATTATGATTTGACATTAAAGTTGTTTCTAGCATGAATACATGTTCTATACACTGAAGTAAAGAAATTAAATAGACTGTATATGTACTAACCCTCTGGCTGTCTGACAGAATGAACAACAGTCATAACTTCTGCTTTAACATCTCCTCGATGAACTACGAATTTTGAGTTTCCTGAGAACTTGTTACACCTCAGGATGGAATCTGTACCCCAGTCTGTCCAGAAAAGATAGTCTTCAAACAAGGCAATACTGAATGGGTAGTGAACACCTTCCTGGATAACCTTGTGCCTAAATAAGAACACGTATGAGAAAACAAATATAATTTAATAATTACAAAACATGTCCCATGATGGTACTACGGTAACTTACAAGTGCACAATCATAGAAGTATCACTTCAGATTCCAACACAATTACCAAACATTAATTATAGGTTAACGATTATGTGAAGTTGACTATCAAACGATACGCTTTAAAGAACTAGTTTTAGTCAAGTAATTAGTGGATCAAGTACTTGAGTTTCCAAAAACAAAACTTATATTTATATTGGAAGTAAGCAACAAGATCAAAGACTGAAAAGGTACTAAACCTGTTCTTTCCATCAAAATCTGAAGCCTCAATCATGTTCATTTTCACATCAGCCCAGAAGATTTGTTTGAGAATGTGGTCAACTGTCAAAGAAGCAGGCCAGTGAACTTTAGTCACGAGTACCAAAGTTAGAGATCCATCCATGTTACCCCGAGATATCATTCCAGTACCACTTTCAGCTAGCGAGCTCGAAACACTCCAAAACATCATCCTAGAAGAAAGTTTAGGAAGATCTGAAGGCAGTTCCAAAAACAAAGTAATATTTGTAACTACCTTCGAGAAAAGTAAATTAATATTAAGCTATTGTACAAAGCATGCTCTGTAATAGTATGGGGGTGAACTTTTAATACAAGGTGAGCTTCATGTACAGTTGTCTTTTTTCCTACAATAGTGGAGCAACTGACTTTTCACCTATGAACTTTACAGGTTCTGTACTGTAGCCGACACTAGTGTCAAGTTTACATCAAGAGTAAGTTTTTGTATGCAATAATTTTAGGAAGAAAACCATAAAGTTGCATGTGTCCCCAAAAAGATTCAGTTAAACACAAGTAAAATACCCAAAAAACACAGAAGGAAAATAATTAATAAATAATAATAATTTCAGATATTTAAAGGAATATTATAAATAAAATTCTAAGATCAGTGGGTGAGTATGGACTCATAGCAAAATAAAGTTTAATGAAATGAATATTGAAGTTTAATACTTTACCCCTCTAGTGGTGATAAAGTGAAACTGCTCAGATGGAAGACTTTGGTATCAAGTACTTCTGTACAAAACATCCCCTCTCTAGTACACACTCCAATGTTACCATTTCCATTAGTAAAATACAGGTTTCTACCAATCCAGTCGTAGCAAAGGAGGTTAATTTGATGTAGGCCTTTCACAATGATAGTAGAATCTCCGCTTATGGAAGATACGCTACCAATAATGCCCTGTAATAGTTAAAAATGCATTATTAGTCAAACATTAAGTATAGGAATGCTTTTGTTTGAGAACTCGACCCACAGCGTTGGAGCTGGCAGGACCAAACTTATGAAGCAGATTTGGGGTGGTGTATGTATATGGGTGCAAACACTATGATAACCAGGATATTTTAGCTTTGTAACTATCAAAGTTATAAAAAGTTGCACCACACTTTTTTT